ATAATCGCACAGCCCTACTTCAAAGTGACCATATTTATTTTCCCAAATAAAGTGCCTTTTTCAAAAGCCTCGTCGATAGGTAAAAGCCCCGGTGCCTTTGCAGCTGGCTTTGGATTTGCCGCTAGTTTAGCAGCGCAGGCGTCTTCGTACGCTTTTAACACACCATCGTAGCGATGGCGATGTTTCAGGTGACTAATCAGGTTGGAAGTATTATAGCTCGTTGCCTTTTTCCCTCCTCGTGGAACTTCTGCATTGCATTTGTTAATACAAATAGCAAGTGAACTATCTAACTCTGAAACTTTGAAATAGTCCCATACCACCGACGACATGTTTGTTTACTGTCCTGGCTTCACGGCCGCACACCATTTACGTCACAGTCAGGCATGAGTTAGGGAGCGCTGGATTTGTGAAGAACTCCCCTCTTCCTAAACCACTCATACCACAGTACTGGCAAAACGGGAGGAGCCGAGTGAAAAACAAGCGCCCCTCATCCCAATCCACCCACACTGCAGTATTTTTTTCTTTTTTTTTACCCAAAAAATATATTGTATATTATCGGGGCTATTAATACTGGTATCGGGTTTATCGGGATGACGTCATAATTCCTATTATCGGACCGATAATTATCGGGCCGATAATTATCGTGCACCACTAGTGCACGTGCATGCATGCGCGAGTCATGGTAAAATATCTGGATTAAGAGGTTGCTTTTTCTTTGCACAGCATGAAAGAAAGGCGAAATGAATGGGCTGTGATTTTAGTATTTTTAAGCAGAGGTCAATAATTTGTACGGCCCTCGGAGGATGTTGAAAAAATGTAAATGGCCCTTGAGAGGAAAAAGGTTCCCCACCCCTGATTTAAAGCAAAACATTAGTTTTTTACTTCTGGTGATTGCATTAAAACTTTTTTTTAAATCACAAAGTGGTGTTAATCTGTGGAGATTATCCGTCTGAACAAAATGTGTAGGTATTATAAACATGTATTTTTCTGCAATATACTAAAATCCAATGGAAAAATCATGCTGCTTTTTGTTGTGGGAGCCCTTGCCCTTGGCCTACAAAGTTTGCCATCGCATCACTACTCAATTCTCCATCGTCTACAGCAGGGGTGCCCACACTTGTTTGGCTGGTGAGCTACTTTTGAAATGACCAGCTCACCGAGGTCTACCAACCAAAAATAAAATCCCAAATTGCAAGGGTTGCTGAATAACACGTTTTATGTATACATGGGATAACTACAAGAGGGCTGCAACAAACGACTCATTTGATAATCGATTAATCTATCGATTAATGAAACGATCAATCGACTATTCAGACTATTACTGTATGCCTTGCACAATTTCTCAAGCGCTCTTATTTAGCCATCAACTTTTAGATTTAGCTTGAGGTTGTTTTAGGCATGTGGAAACTAACAATGAAGACAATAAAGATGAATACTTGATTCAAAAATACATATATATTTAAATTAACAAATTGTGAACAAAATTAACATTGCTTTTTATTTAAATTAAATAAATAATATTTCACATCAAAAGAAACAACAATGTTTTAACAAATCGTATTAAATAATCTGATGACAGAACTGTGAACAGAATAGCTGAAACTTTAACAAAATAAAGAGTAACTCAGTTTCCTCTAATCATTAACCCATGTTTGAATCATTGAGTTAACTCCGTGTGTTGCTGCTAGCATACATAACACCTGACGTGGAAACGTTACTCGTGGATGGGGCTACAGAGCAGCTAGAAAGACAGTCGAGCCCGGTGCATTCCTCCGTCTGGATGTGGTGCACTTTTGCTAAATGTTTAGACACATTGCTCGTGTTACCGCCCTCACATGCTGAACTCTCTAGGCAACGAGCATTGTCCACCCCAAGACGGGTAACATTTAACCACACCTTGGAGCGCTTCTCTCCGCCATCCCCGCCGTGTGTTGCTGCATGTAGCAGCCGAGTGTGTGTAAACTGCCCCGCCCCCTCGCACACAGACGGGGGAGAGAGAGATCTCGTCTCGATTGGAAAGATCCAAATACACCGACCATAGACGCATTTGTTTGTCTTTTTGCATCTTAGAAACGAGTTGGCGACACTAAGACTGCGAGATAATATTTGTGTAGCAATAATACATATTACCTTTCTCTTTCTCAACTCGCTACTCGGAGGGAAGTCGCTGCTATGCCTTGTGAACACTCTGATAATGCCTCTCCACGTTACTTTTCTTTGGCAGAGCGACGCTTGCTTTACAACTAAGGCAAATAACCTTTGAATGTGACATCACAACAAAATATTCTTCCTCCCATTCTGGGTGGAAGTGGTATGTCTTTAGCTTCTTGCTCGGTCCCGCACTCATTTTGTAGTTTGTCTCTTGTTTGTCTCTTTAACTTAATTTGAGTTTTCCCGGCACTTGACTGATTTTGTATCGCTTTGCATTCTGGGTTAACAGACTGGAAAGCGATAGGTCGCTTTTTCTGTCAATCAAGTAAACTCCTGAATGAAGTGGCAGGGAGGCCAAGGGAGGAGGGATCAAAACCTGTCTATTTTAACGGAGCTGGATTTTTTATTTTTATGAATGACTCGCGATCTACCAGCATTGCCCGGTCGAGGTACTGGGCACCTCTGCTCTAAATCAATTCACGCTCTTTTGCAAAACTGAAATCATTGCAGACAGTAAAGTTCTGTAAGGAATCTTTCGGAAAAGGTTTTGCAGTAACTGCAGGACTTCAAGGAGAAGGATCTCAGGTAATGAATGCAGTTTTGGTCGATGATGGTGAAGTCATAAAGTCTCGGCTATAAAAGAATATCACGTCAAACCTTCTATTTTTTTTCACTTGCGCATAAACAAATATGTTATTCTTTTCTATCAAGATGTCCACCTTAGTTGTGCGTCTTTCAGGAGCACAAAGGAGTATTCATGATGGGGAAGAGTTGCCTTAGGGGAAACAGAAGTCTGAGGCTACACCCTGTATCACACACACACGGACACACACACTAACGCAGCTCAACTTGTCTTGGCAGAGACAAAACAGCAGCGAAAGAAAGGGACAAAGGGAATGAGATGCAAAGCCTGGAGCCTTGTTTTCCAACTACCATAACCAATGACATGACATCAGCATAGAATTATTGAAAATCTATTGAAAACGCAATATGGACTACTGCAAAAGTAAAATCTCAGGAAGCTCAATATTTGGTAAAGGCTACATTTGGGTTAAAATACTATTTTGAATCAAAAATATTGGCGCTGGCAGCGATATCCTTGTCTACAGACTGAACAGAACATATTTGTCTGTTACAAATCCTCTTTGAAATAAATAAATACATGTTTCATGATGATGTGAAAATTATTTTATTTGTTCCACATCATGCAGCCCTAATTTCTGTCTTTCAGTGATCCCTACTTCCCTTTGTACTGAAATATTCCGTTTGTTGCACTCCACCTGCTTTTTGGCAAATAACATACCATCACAGATTGGTGTATAAACATCACACCTAAAGTGGTGTTAATGTCATGCTCAGCACCACGTCTGCTGAAAGGTAGCCGTTAAAAATGCATTGCATCTCATTCAGCATGCACTTCATGTCTGCTTAGAGCCGTGTTTTGAAATGCTGCTCCAGATGTGAGTCTGAGCGCCCCGCTGAGAGAGATGAATGGCTGGGGGGGGCTGCAGGCTACCTACAGGTTCACATCCTTAATGAGCAGAAGAGTCTGCTGAGAGCCAGATATGATTGATAGCGCCGCGACAGAACTGGAAGAGGGGTAAACGCAGCGAGGGCTTTTGATAAAGACGATGGGGCGGAGGTTCTTTGGCACGAGGCAAAGAGAAGGAATCTGGCATTGGACTTGCCCGAGATCAATGCCAGCAAGCCTTCCTCTTGTTACAGCCCGACTTCTTTGGTCTGTTAGTTAAATCTGAGCTGGATGTTTACTTCCTGTTGCGGTGCCCAGCTATATTCCACGTAACACACTTTTCCCTCCAAGGGAAACAAATAGCATAAGGTGGAATTCCTGGAAAATGACTCGGATGTTGTTGTTGGTCGAAGTGAAGACATAGGAGATATGTATTGCTCTTACTCCATCACACTTGATATGTTGGATTTTTTTAATCCGCTTTTAATAGTCCACTGCGAGTGAGTCAAGGCTTTTGACACTAAATCGAGAAGAAAGCACAGAAATGACAATCGAGCATCGAGGAGAGAATTACAACAGAAGCTCTGCTAAATCGTCCATTCAGGCGGCAGCAGGCAGCTATACAGGCCACTTCAGGATTTGCAGCCAAAGGCAGTCCCCACGAAATAATGAAGTGAGGCTGGATGGATGCCAGGAGGGGGGCAGCTTATGTCAGCCTGCATAATGTGTTGGACCAGGGTCTCTGTCATGTCATATAGGGAGGTATTGACGGGTTAATTCTAAACAATCCAGCAGTATCACATCTAATCGTTCTATTGCAGGATTATTGGAAATGTACTCAGTTCAGTAACAGTTTGCATCATTTTAACAATAATGTGAAATGTAATACACTTTTGTTCTTAATTTAAAAAAAGTGTTTTTGTTTTGTTTATGAGTTCTGAGATTAGAATCTGAATTATGAGATTTTTAGGAAAACAAATCTGACTTTTTTCACAGAATTCTGACTTTAACCTCCGAATTTTGAGTATTTTTTCTCATGTGGACCTAATTCTCTGACAAATGATTTTATATACAAACATTCATTTAAACACAGCCCATTTAACAATAGGCAATTGTTTATCTCTCAGTGTAACCCCTTAAGCTGATGGTAAGGGCGTCAACAAAATAAAAGCACTTGCCAAAATGTATAAATACATATAATATCATTATACTATATAATTTATCACAAAGACACACACAGTCGTAAAAACATCCCAGGCTGTGTGAGGGGAATAACTTATGGCGGCAAAATGCCCACTTTTTACCAATAATACCACTCAAGCTGATATTCACGCGATTTAAACATTAGTACACACGAGCTAAACGAATGTTATCTTACCTGTGTTGGTTTGTGTTGACCTCGTCCTCGGCTCCACACTTGCTTTGTGTTAAAAAATCCAAAGGTGCTTTGATGAAAAATCGAAAAAGTCCCGCTGAATAAACACTACCGTGTCCTCTGTGGCAGCGAGTTGTTCTAATTTTAGCTGCTAGCAAACACGCGAACCACACTGGCGGTTTAAACGCCACTTATGTAATTACTAGTTAATGAGCGAGTTGTCTAAATACTTATCATTACTCTCACAACACGCGCGCGAAGCATCCCCGCGCTTCCCTGGTCGTTTTTCTCTTGCTCTGTGCTGTGGAATTAAAAAGGTGTGTTCATGGTGTCTCGGTGCACTGGTAGTCCATTCAGGGCGGGAACCCGGGCTGCAGGTTCCGAGCAGCTCGTCGCTACGGACGGGTCGACAGTTAGATTTATGTGAGGCGGAGAAAACAACATCAGCGCCGCAGCTCCATCCCTCCCAGGCAACTACTGAGGAGGCGTTCAAGGACTGCTCGGAATTTACCCAACTCTACGAGTCCTACATTGTTGATAAACTCTGTGACTTATTATTAACCATTTCATTTAGTTAAGGGCAGCAGCTACTACTGTAAACTATCTAATTATATTTACTCAAGAACTGTACTAAAGTACAATTTTGAATTTGAATACCCCAAAGTTGTATAGTATAATCAACATTTACATTAAACTTGAGTTCCACCTGGATTAAATTCACAAGCTACCCTGCAGTATACAAAGTCATTCAAACTAGCTGCACCTTTACCAGCTTTGAGAACACTTTAATGAACAATCGTTATAAAACATATCATATATATTATTCTGAAATGGACCAACCTGCATAATGGGTATTTAAGGCTAATACTTTTGTACTTTTATTAAAGTAATATTTGTAATGGAGGACTTGTACTTGTAACAGTTTCCTGCTCTCTGGTACTTCTTAAAATCTCTAGAGTAATTCTTCCTCTGAATCTTTTCATTATTGATTATGCTGGCAACCAACAATGCATTAACGATTATAACTCTATTTACTCTTTTTTATTTTCTGACTTTATATTTCAAGCATCTGGTCTTCAATATGACTAGCTTTATGTATACCAATAAAGTGTATACATTGAAATAAACAATTGTTTTTGTTCTAATATTTATACACATATTGTATTTGATCTTATTTGTTTTTATTCTAAAATGTAGCAAAACCAAAGTCTTCTAAATCTTATTCTGATTCATTTAATATTGATATACATAACCAATATAGGTAACACGCCTCACAAACTTTGAACAGGGATTTTTTTTGTATTTTTGATTAAAAAGGCTCTTAACATAAAGCAACCACCATAAATATGAAATCAAACGTAATGCATTCATTCTCCTCAATGTCACATTGATATTATTATTGTTTACCTGGAATTCTTCATTATCATAATTCTGACAGTACTTTAAGGCAATCTAACACTTTTTTTGGACGGGTTGTGTAGAAGGGAAGGTTGTGTGTTGGAGATCTGCTCTGCAGGGATGTGACCGACAAAGAGAGGGGAGGGAGGGAATAAAGCCCCGCTCATCTGTCATGCATTTCCCCTTTGATTCAGCAGCAGCCACTGAGTCTTATTTTCCAGCATTTGTCCCCCTGGGCGCTTTGTTCTGCATTCAGCTGCAGAATGTGCTGGAGAACACAGTTCATTCTTCAAATCTCTGATGTTGTTTTCTCTCCTTTTACCTTTGTTTTCCAAAAGCTAAAACTACCACTGAAAGATTCTGGTTTGAACCAAGATGGCAAAAAGCAGGGGTGTCAATTCAGTCGGACATACTAATATCTGTTCATGTGATAACATAAAGCTCATATGATCAGCAGAGGAAACAACCCTATTAAGTGTTTCCAATTAACGTGCATTTTCGATTTCTATCGCTTTTTTAATAAAGACGAGAAAACATCAGTGTCCCATATGGGGGAGGTATCAGTATTTGTTGGGTTATTTTTGGGGGTTTGTGAAGTATTACCTTTTCTGTATGAAAAGTGCGATATTAATAAAGTTTGATTTAAATGGAATTTGGGCTCAAATAAAAAACCACTATATATATATATATATATATAAATAAAATATATATTTGTTTCAATTTCGGTTCCTACACATGAACTAATGCGACTTTCACCATTTCCCTTACATTAGAATTCTACAAAACACTTTTTTCCCCAAAAATATTTGTTATTTTTTACTTCCAAAAGTTACTAATTCTTTAATCTGTTATTAAATGAGACAGGCACCGTTAGTCCAAACTCGCCTCATAGAAGTTGAGAGTAATCTGCTTTCAAACAAGAAAAATCAAACATGTATAATATAATTGAAGGTCAAATGTTTTGTACATGCAATAATTGCTCCACCTGTTGGTTGTTTTGTGGCAATGTTAACATTTTAAAGGGTTGAATAACTGAATCAAGTGTGTCAAAAGCCCAAAACCTTTAGAACATACTGTATACAACATGGATGTTAGCTCATATCAACCCTAGTGTAGTTGTTTTATGGTAAATGTAAGTATGTCAGCACACAAACATGTTATGAAATGTCGTAGGACAAACCACTCCCAAACAATTGTTTTTCTTTTTTCTTTAAACAATAATATCACATATAAATTCTCTCTATCAATTTGTAAGACATTTTACAAATTAAACTCAGCCTGAAGTACAGAAGAAAAGTACAAGTACATTAAGACACTGTGACACCTTTTGAAAACAGTAAGGCAACCGATGCCCGCCTGTGGCATAGGTAGGTTCCAAACTAAAAGACAAAAAAAAATCACCAATTAAGAAAAGCTTAAAAGCAGAGGAATATAAAAAAAACTTGTCAAGGAATAAAGGCAAAAAACAATAGTGGAAAGCATAAACATTTTCTTTTAAAAAACATTATAAGTGGAAAACATCTTGTGTGAAAAGATTATCAGGACAAAGCGCTAAAATCATTAAGAACCAAGTATTTTAGTTTGTTTGTATACTGAAGCTAAAGGAAGGCCATAATAGTCTGAATTTGAAATGCAGCTGAATAACTAATTGTGAGAAATAACCACTATTGATGAATTAAGCGAAACATTTCAATTCCACTGAATTTATAGTACTGTCAAACAGTATTTTAGCAGTATTTCTCAATTGTGTGGTTGTGGTTATACATTGGTTTGTTTGTTTGGTTTGAGTCTTTGAATTTCAAAACCTTTTAGATGTCTCGGGTTATCCAACCGAAGTCTTATCAGGTAAAAGATTGTATTTTGATTGTTGAATTTTGGTGTCTGAATTACATTTTTCTTTTTTAACTTGAATTTTAGTTGTTTTAATTTTGGAGGCACATTTCCATAATTCACATAGATTAAAAAATAATTGTACACTTGCTTTTTTAAAAGGACAATTAGAAATACTACATTTTGTAAAGCTTTACAATCACTGGTAATGCAATTAACTAAGTTTCAGTTTTAGATTTTCAATTGCTCCAAGAAAAATAAAGCCATTTTGGCCTATTTTAGCTTCCGTACATTGGTAGCAAGACCTAGTGTTAACTTCCAGAAATAGATGGCACGTTAACACCACTAATAAGATGATGTGTGTTCCTCTAAGGAAACTCTCAGCCTGAACATTTTCATTTTACCTACCATCATTTATATATACACGAAGAAAGAAATTCAACTTCTTCACTGATGATATTATCTTGACTGTGGAGACTGGCTGCCATCTGACACCCACTGACAGTGTGAAAGATCACACTCTTTCCTGAACACCTTCTGTTGACTCAACACCATCACTCACCTTTTTCCGGCAGGCTGTGTTTAATTCATTTACTTAAGATCATATCAAATGATCCAGGCTGATCAAAAAAACTAATATTGCCTGTGGATTTTGGATTCAACGATATGATGTACAAGTGAGCTACTGCCACGGTGCTCTTCACTGTTGTGCTTCTGTTCCACACGGTTACAAATCATCAAAGGTTTAAACTTTGTAAGGTTGTTTTGATTTGAGCTCTCGTTACATTGCTTCAGAGAAGGGAGTTAAAAGAGGACACTGTTCATTCTCCTCTACAGAAAATAAATTAACAGAATAGACAACAGCAAACCAGATATTGCTCACAGGGGGCTTACATCCACAAACACAATTCCCTCCCCATTATAGATCCAAAAATAGATAAGAAAACATCTACTGTATATAAAGTATATGGCAGACAATAAAAATGGGGGTTATTTTGTGCCAAATCACGTTAATTAAATTCAGAAATAGTTACACCCAACGAGAAAATGCAGTAACTATCTATATCACAGCACCCCATACTGAACCTTTCCTGTCCACACACACACACACACACACACACACACACACACACACACACACACACACACACACACACACACACACACACACACAACACACACACACACACACACACACGGTAAACACTGCACAAAGCAAGCTTTCACCACAACCACAGGCACAGTTTAGAGTATATGTATTTTCTGTTGTCTGTAAATGAAAACGAAGTGAGAAAGTAGCCACAGCTTAAAAATATCTGTAGGACATTCTGCCAGTTTGTCAATGCACACTGTGTGTATTCTCTTCAGTGAGTGTGTGCTTTCTGGAATTATGGATGCAGGTCTGTGTGCTCTCAGGGTGTGTCTGTGTCTCTTTTTGTAACGGGTCCACTTACAGAAATGTATGAACTGACTAAACCATAAGGCAAAGGAATTCTGTGCGTGCAGCCACAGTGCTTATTAGCACCAGAGCGGGCGAAACAGTAACAGGCACATGTTTTTCTCACATGTACTGCTGTGATATCAGCAGCAAGTTATTTTTTATTCAAGAAAAATGTCATCAATTCCTTTGACATTCTCTGTGATGTTTGACTGGTGGATGGTAACTCAATATCGCACAACCACCAAAGTAATACAACGATCAAATGTAGGCTAACATGTCTGCCCATGCTTTGAGAAAAACATTGTGAAAATGCTTATTTCCGATAAATTACAGGTTTTCTTTTCTGATAAAGATATTGTTTGTTAAAGATCATTAGTGAAACACATCTTGTAAACACATATGATTATTTCTTCTCAGAAATAGCTGCTATACGCCATCGAGAGCACCAACCGTGTTATTTCCGATAATGTATTTTTTTCCCGATAGAAATATAGTTTTTCAAAGATCATTAGTGGAAAGCAGCAACATTATTGTTGTTCTCTTTGAAATCAATGCTAAACGCCAGCGCAGCACCAACCGTGAGATGTTTTGCTGTATTGCTGAGAGCGATTCATGAAAGTGTGGTTGTTCAGCTCAAATCTCTGAATTAGTTCCCTGAAAGGCCTATCCAAAATGGCCAGCACTTCCTTGGCCTCTAAATTACTTAGATGACGCCTCTATCCTAGAGAGTTCTGCTGGCTATATGTCTGAATTCAACACATCATTTGGAAAAAAATGTTAGTGGGCAATTGGGTGTAATAGAAAGAAATAAAAAAATATGTCTACGATGCGGGATACCATTCCCTACAAAGTATGATCACTTGGTATTGTATTGTTACATTTACAACATAGTGATTTACCTGATTGTTATACTATTCAATTCATGAAACTTCTCTCACTAATGTCTCCCTGTATGGTAAAGGTGTTCCGTTTTTGTTTCTAGCCCAAGACAACAAACAAGTAGAAGTGTGATAAATCAACACGCTCCATTTCCCAACGCATCACGAGTTGAATCACTTTGCGTCAACATTTAACATAATTATTAGCCCAACGCATCAAACTATGAAGCCCTTACTATGCTCACAGTTTAAAGCAGGCGGTTAATAATGTGAATTCTAACAAAATCTACCCTGGTAAGTTTTAAGTAAAACAGCGTGGTTTGGGCTAGACTAAGTACATTTTGCAATAAACGTCTAATGTTGTCGCAAGATGGGAAAAACATTTACAGTTAAAAGCCTGATTTGTTTCATAGAGTAATAAAAGGTTGCCTTGTTTGCGTCCGTATCAGGGTTAGGTCCAATTTAAAACCTTTTTTTTGACCGCTTGAAAATGTGATTGGGCCTGGATTGATACATGACGAAAAAGGTAGCTAGCAGCATTGATAGTAGCTTAAGGTCCACATCTCCTGCTTAAACAGAAGAAATTCACACTCAAAGAACTAGTGATGTTGTTTTCTCTGAGGCAAAGCATGGCACAGGTGTTGCCCTGTTTACTGATGTAACAGGAAGTTGCTACAATCAGCTAGCCAGTCAGGGGTAGGAAAAAGGTTTAAACCCTGTAAAACGTGATAAAAAAGCACTTCCCTGAATCAATAAATATTAATTTATCACAAGGCAAAAGTCTCAGTTAAAGGGAAAGTGTTAAGATTTGGCTATACCCAGATTGCAATCAACTGAATACCATTCCGTTAACCAATGTCTTTGCGAACTGCGGGGTAAAACGGACGGTAAGTGCAAATCGTAGAAAACTCTCAGGTCCTTCACCTTGCTCCACCTTGACATAACTGTACTATAGGAGCAACACAGTTAATGTGGCGACTGGCAGAACAAAAGTTATACAAGCGTGTTGGACAACTAAGATGGCCTTTGTCCGTTCTCGTACATGGCGATGCAAAATGGCGGACTCGAACGAAGAAGTCCCACTCTCAATGTAGATACACAGAGCTCATTCTAAACTCACGAAAACTAAATGATTCCTTGTTTCAGGTGATTTTACACTAAAACATAGATATGAATACTATACTTGATTTATGTAAGTATATCCCCTGAAAACTACACACTGGCCCAAATTTTTTATATTTTTGATATTATTTACTAAGAGTTAGCCACTGAAAAATGTGGGCATGGTTTATTTGAGGTCCTGGTAACAAAAGCAAACAATCCCACAACTGTAATTGAATTATTGCCTGAAATCACCTTCTTCTACTGTAAGTAAGCCACGAACACTTTAAACCAATTAAGAAAAACAGGGAGCAACAACACGTGAGTTTCATGGAAATGTAGAAGTATAGTAAATAAGAGATTTAGGTCCTCAAAGCCTTTAACAATGGTGGGGCAAAGTATATTCAAAAGGGAAAAAACGTCTACTTTTAATTTGAAAAGTTCTGGATTGTAAATTTAGAAATATTTTCTTGGTGAACCTTTAAATTCATGACATAAAGTTGTAGTAAAATGTGAAGAACAAAAAAACTGATGTTTCACATTGTAAACCTCTTTAGTAAAAATGACAGATACTCCTGGTGTCAGTTGTGTGAGCTTGAGGTGTGTATACACAAAATGATCCCTCTACTCAGAATCTGCTCTTTGAAACAGAAGCTTAGGTCATCACTTGGCTGTCCATAAGAATACATCACATTACTAGCCGTACTACTAATCAATGGCTGTCAGTGATTTTTCAAACCGTGCCATGAAAATGCTTATATTGTGCAAAGTGCAGACACACGTTGTTTTGTGTCTTTTCCTTCACCACCACTGACTGGTTCATTGGACGTCTTTCACATTCATCGATTCCAGCTTAACACATCCATTTCTTACCCATCTGGGAAATAAAAATGCTCTGTCCAGTTACCCTCACTCTTCACTTGTTCTCTTGCCGTTAGGACTCCAACAAACTGTGCCAGAGGCAAACCTGCTGTCCTTTAGACTCTTTCATCAGAGTCCAGTGGGTGAGCTCCTCCTCTCCGGAGCTGTTGAGGCCGAGCGAAATCCATCCGATCATCTCCTTACGCTTCATGCTGCGCTTGTTGTAGACGGAGAGGATGAGCGTGACGTCCGATAGCTGGAAAAGAGCTACCTGGAAGACAAACGTCTCTTTGTATGTTGGGTTGGGCTGTCCTCGACAGATGGATGTCTTACACTTGGACATCTCGTGGCCCATGGAGTTCAGTAAGGTCAGCTTAACATATGTATCTGAGCAAGAAACAGAAGTAGATAATTAAAGAGGAAATGATGTAAACTCTAATGGCCTGTGTCCACATAGCGCCTTTTTGAAACGTTCTTGAGAAAAAGTTGTTTTCCTCCTTGCTTTACGGCTGTGTAGAACATTATATAGTAGCTAGGGCTGTCGATCATTTTAAATATGAAATCGAGATTGATCACATGATTTCCACAGTTACCTCTCGTTTAATCTCAAATTAATCGCACATTTTAAATGTACCTTAGAGATATAGTTTGTTATACTCTTATAAACATGGTAATGGACAAAGAGGATTACTTTATACAAAATGTATGTTCATTATAATTGCAATAATCCAAAACAAAAATAGCTGTAGCCACAGTATTTTCAATGTATGCTATTTTATTCTTCTACTATACTTTATATTTCTAACGCTGGTCAAAAACCATTGTCGCAGCCTTATTAACGCAGCCCTAACAGCCCTCAGTAGCACAAACAAATAATACAATCCAAGGGGAGCGATGCTAGTTTGTCATACAACATTAATGATACGTTGACGAGATATCGTTGTGACAGAAACTATAACAAATATTTCTGCCGAGAATAGGCGCTATGTGGAAACAGGCCCTTAGACATGGTTTTAACTGATGGCACCTGACTTGAGTACTGGATCATTTGTGCAAAATCCCACTGTTTCCTCTTTGTATTCTCTTTGAAATTAAAGCATTACTGCACGCTGCAGCTGTGTTTCCTATGCAGCAGAGTGTGACCCATTTCCCCACAAAGCATTTGTACTTGTAATAATGTCACTGCAGTCGGTGTATACCATCATGACCACATAGGATGCTGCTTTTCTCCTGATCAAACACGAATCGCAGCTGTGAGTGTTCCTGATAACAGAGCGAGAACTCAAAGGGTGCGAACGGTGTTACTTCTGTCTTGTTGCTATGCAACTACTGTACGTCTAACCTGAAGTAGGGGGTCATGTTGAAGATATAAATGGACTAGAAAAAGTTAGTAATGCCTGTGCTTAGAGGATTAGGAGCCTCTTCTAAAACAGATGATGTAGCTAAAATTAATGATCCTCATCAGGAAGCCCTCCAGGAGCTGCTATTATTTCTCTGACTTTGACATAATGTCAGTGTCATGACATACATAGAGACTTTTAGAGCCCAGGGCAGTGTCCCAAATGTGATGCATGCCTGCTGCAAACAAATGAGAACATTCAAATACATTATACCAAGTCCCCTGATGCGGAATTGTAATGCGTCCACAGCAACGGTATTAACAGACATTGCTCGAAAACGGAAATCTAGCTTAAAAATCTTATAATCAAACACAAAACATACATTTTGTACAGATTGTAATTGTAACTGATAATATTCCCAAGCTGATTCCCTTCAATTGTGAGTGTAAATCAGTGCCTATTCCGAAAAAAAATCACTTTTTCATTTATCCGCGACGAGGAGAAAAGTAACCACTGGCATTATCAAGTGATTTAGCATTCACCGTTTCCTTTTTCCACTCCTCATTTCCATGCCCAAATCATGGATATAACTGAGGCACATCCAGCGGGGAAAGCAAACGAGGCGAGACTGGCAATCACAATGGCTCTTTGAGAGTGTTTCGCCCCTCGTCTACCGCCGCACTCCGTAATAATGCTGTGTATTATGTTCCTGTCTAAGAGGGAGTATAAGGAATGAATTGCCGAGGCTTTCATGCCGTCGAGTGCCAGCTGCCTTCCAACGCCGAGCTCACCGCCTCGAATCACACATTCAGTTGCTCTCTTTGACATAAAAGCACAGTGGAAAAAATAGCCTTGATTTCTTTTTTGACTGCTGCTGAATGGGCTCTGTAGAGCTGTGGATGTCTTAAGTGGTCAGTAGCGGTGATGCATGGCTCTTTGGTATTGTTGCTGAATGAGAGGGGGCTGCGACTGATGATTAACTTGACTTGTCGCCTCCGTACTGTTTTGAAATGATAGAAAAAGGAGCTCTGAAATTGCTCCGCATCTTTCACCACGCTCTTTCCACTTTGTAACAAAGTCAATCAAGGCCTTCATGAGGATTTTGCACAAAGATTTTTCCCTGTTAGCAGATGTGACTATTTTCTAAATGAAATGTGGATTCGGAATGTGGATATGCTATTCAGGAAAGCACAAACAATATAAAAATCTGGCAGATAGTTATTAGTTACATGAATAAAAGGAACGCAGCAATTAATGGGAGGACCGGGCAGTGTGTCTTCCAGATGAATATGGATCTCTCTGTTCCTTTTCTGTTTCAAATGCTGGCAAGCAGAACTGTACAATGTTAAATTATAACCAAAGCATGCAGAAGTGTGCTGTTAGAATAAAACCAGCAGTGGATGACGCACAGCTTTTCCTTCTAGCTGGAGTTAGCATCCTAAGTGTTACTTCTGAGGTAAAACATAAAAGACTTGCAGGCATCACGAACACGAGAGTAACACAACACCGGTAGTGAGAGTGGTAGCAGGGGTCGTGCAATACATTCAGTACACATTAAAGAACAAAGGGACAGGCGCTACAGCAGCAGCTATCTCCATGGATACGTGTTTGTATAGGGTGCGAATGTAAAGCATGTAATGCTATGGTTTTCTTTGAAAAGTAATTTTGATTTAGTACCATATTTTACTTTCTGAAACAAGCATTATGTATCTTTTGCCGAGAGTTTGATGAGAAGAATTGATACAACTCTTGTGTTTGTATGCTATGTACGCAGCAACAGCCAGGAGACTGTTAGCGTAGCTTAGCATAAAGACTGGAAGCAGTGAAAAAAGCTAGCCCAAATCTGTAATTAATTACCCATCCACCAATAACTCAAAAGCTCTCAAATGAAATGATGGTATCCCTCATGACTAATTCATCCCAAATGATGATGTTATTTTGTAGTCCAACCCGGAAGTTAGCATCACAACATGATACCATGATAATGTCCACTCAAAACAAAAATCACGGTCAGATGGCTGGGTGTTACCACTGCTAAGCTAAAGGTGGCTAATGTTGGGCATGAAGACTTTGTAAGTCTAATTTATCCAATTGTTAGCAACCGCTGTTTTATGAAAAATAGAAGGTTCAGACATTCACGCAGTGGGGTATTTACTGACATATTGTAGAAAAAAGTGTGAACATCTCTTATGCCTCTGTTAACCACAAATCATATTTCACGCAATTACTAAAATTAAAAACAGATTCAAGAACATTACAGAAAGTGGTTGAATACTAACTGATTTTCAGGTTTTAAGACTAATTCCTGCACCATTCAATTGATCTTTTGATTTATAACTCTCTAAAACTGATATGCTTATTTCTTATAATGTTGAACTGTTGCTTAAAGTAAAACAATTATAATAAGTTGACAAGCTCTTGTGCTAAATGTCTATGTTTTCCTCGTAAATAATTTATTAACAAAAGATAGTTTCATATTTTAAGGGAAACCAGATAAGTAAATAAAATAGTTAGAAATGTAAACTGGGTATATTACATGTACAAATGGACAATTGGAAAAGTGTTCCATGAAGCATCCATGAAGATAGTATGAAATGGTCGACAGCGAAAGCATCTCACTATGCGGCAGGGACAGAGACTCACCTCTGATTATATAAACCTGTCCACCTATCAAGTGTTTTTAGACAACAGAACAGCCCGTCTGACAACAAGGGTTTGGACAGCAGTAAGAAAAAACAACAGACCAAGATGTCAAAAAGGTAGTAGGGTTAGAAATATCAGGAGCAGACATGACAGAAGATGTAAGGGAAGAGAAACAGGGTCATTAGGCCACAACATCATACAAAGTTCAACAGAGGCGTTTGAACCTAGACCCCTGAAAACTGAGCAGGAAACAGGGATCAAACCGGAGGGAAACTGAAAGCAGGTAGAGCACTAATATAGGAATAGGTTTTTATACTTCTGTCTGGATCATTCTTAGTTGAATAAATGAACGTAAATAAACATATATTTCTTATACATTTAACAAAGGTCTTTCACATTAGCTTGGACCACATTCAAGTTTCTTGTTTTTTCTACACTGAAAAAGCTGAAACGTTGGCTTTAATTAATGTATTATGTATATTTCACATAACTGTATTAGGTTAGTTGAAAGCAATAATATTAAGTTTAAATACAAAATATTAGGAAATCTATTGACATAAAATATTTAATTAACGTAAACGTTTCAGTGTTTTCAGTGTAGTGTGAGAGAACCATTTACAATTATACCAATTCAAAAAGGTTTTTTACTGACAGTAAAGTTGATCACTTCAAGGGTTGTCATAAAAAAACACATTTATTAGTTTGGTTTGCTAATCTGTAAAAACATTTTGAATAAAGTTGGTGTAGAAAAAAACATGATTAATTGTTGTTACATTTGCTGTACGATCCGTGGTGGCAAAACAAATTAAAACTAGCAATACTAACAATCACTGGTAAAATGTACCATTTTAGAATCATATTAAATTCCTGGATTCTGATGATAACATTTTATGTTACTTTGTATACTTCTGTTGAATATTCCCCTAAGTACTGTATATGTCAAAGTGTATTTATTAGTTGATTTATATGTTGTATGGCCTAATAATCTGAATCTGTAAAGTTACTAAAGCTGTCAGATATTCCGAAACTATTTGAAAAAATGATTTACACTCCTCATCACTCTTTTGGCAGTGACTCAAATAAAAACGTTTTAGGGTACTTACTGGGTGGCTTGTTGGCTGCCAGGTTTTTAAAATGGATGCCTTTGATGATCTCCACGGAGAGACGTCCTGTCGTGGCGTTGTACACCAGGCCCACGAGGATCTCCGGTGTTGAGGTCTGACTGACAGACTGGAATGATGAGGCGCTCTCACTGCACGTCATATCGGAAAGGCTGACCTGGGAATCACCACCCTGTAAATGTTGGCAGGCATTTAGTTCATTATTTAGTTCAGTGGTTCTCAAATGGGGGTACGCAGACCCCTAGGGGTACGTTGGAGTACTGCATGGGGTACGTGAGATTTATTTTATGTTAATGAAAACAAAAGTGTGGGTTTTATATTAATAGACTAGAGTTGTACATATTTCAAACACGAAGTGTAATAACTGCAGTTTGCCTCCCTGTCAGAATGACAAAGATCCTCAGTGAAGCACAAGCCCATGTTTCTCACTAAATTGTAAGTACAACTTATTAAAAAGATCAGTTCAATGCAACTAATGTCGTCTTAGTGTTATTGCATGATATTAAAATTGGTTGGCCATGAATTTAGTGATGGATTGTAAACATTTGAAATGTAGCATTTAAGTGTTTCTCAGTTACAAGGTTGTTACAAGACACTGATGGTACAAGGCTGTACCTCTTTATATAGACTTTTTCCCCCTAACAAATAGTTTTTGCGCTGATCAGGGGGTACTTGGCTGCATTTTTTTTTCAAAGGGGGTACATTATTGAAAAAAGTTTGAGAATCACTGATTTAGTTCACTGTATTTATAAGGAAAGTCAGGGTCAAAATTCCCCTATCTAGTTCAATATTGAGAATGTTCATTTGTTTTACCTTGTTCTGAAATCCTAAACAGGTCTTACCGTGAGAGCACAGCATGGGTCCAATATGACGGGCACAGACATTTTGCCCTGAAGGTTGAGCTTGGTAAGGTAGAACATCTTCTCCCCGAGCACCTTCTCCTTCTTCATCCGCTTCATACTGTAAAGGCGGGAAATCGGATGGCGTAGTTGCTGATCATCTCTGACTCCACGTGGCTGAAGCGGAAGGTCTCGGTAAAGATTGGGCAGGGGCCTCTCTGGATTCCTGTCTTGGCTCTCTGCTTCTTGGTGGGCAGCAGCACCAGGTGGACCTGCCAGGAGATGTTGCCCGTGCGTTTCAAGGCGGGAAGATCCGACACTGCCATGATGGTAATGGCCAGCTGCTGGTCGTCTGAGTCAAAGTCAAACACAACGTCCAGAGTGCCATATTTGGCAACTGAATCTGGTTCATAACCTTTAGGGAGCTGAGCTGCTGATCCACGGGCTGACATGTCCTGAAATAACCAATAAACATGTTCAATGTGCAATAAAAAACTCAATGTAAATGTTTGCTTTATTTCAATTCGGTGTCGTACACTGTGAACACTTGTGCAGTTTATTTTTTGAACAAGGATGTATAAAGACAACTTGATACAAATTGGAAGCGGGGCCCTTTTCATCACTAGGAAAGTTTCCCTCTGGCGCATGAAGCCAAAATGGCCTGACTCTGGAGAACTAATTTACTCATCCAGGGAACTGGGCCCATAGAGCATGTGCACTTGCAATTCCATTAAGCCCCGCCTCCAATCAGCTGTCATAAGGACATAACGGCTCGGTCAAATGAATGGCAAGGGAAAATAACTCTGGATTTGATTTTAGGATCTAATTATACAATTAATGGTTATTCAAGTGTTAGTATTCGGAAGTTGATTTAGCTTAAAATATTTATAAAAACAGTAACAGTAACAGACTCTTTCCCAATGTAATTCAATGGGAAAATGTATTTTAAAGATCTCCTATCATGCTATTTTTAGGCATATATTATGGCTATAAGATATATCAAAATATATAAAAAAACATATCTACTGTACAGATCATGAATTTTAGACATCCCTCATATCCCTCTGTTTCAGCCCTGTTTATGGCGCATTTCCACTGCAGGGCCTCGCGCGGCTTAGTACGGTATAGTTAGGCCTTGGTAGGCCAGGCTCAATATATGCTGCGTTACCATTACAGTTTAGGAACTGGGGTAGTAACTATAGTAACGCAGTGTAGGCGGAGCCGTGACGTCATCTTCAATGCGAAACACAGAGCTCACAGCTCCTCATATCTGTTCAGAAACTAGACAAAAGTTAAACAAGTACAAACCACAGACTGTCTGTGTCATGGCGCATACAGTCGCTGGTTTATTTATGTCTGTATAGGCCGTTGTTGTGAGTGTGGACGGTCGGAGCATACACTGCGTTAGCTTAGCCGATCTCCATTTAGAAAACACGCATTTTAAAAGGTTTTTCGCCTGCCGTCTTGTCTGCAGCAATCGTCTCTAGCTGAATCGTCTCTAGCTGAATTTTACCATGCTTTGCATTGAGAAACACCTAAACACTTAAAAAACAGCAAATGTAAATAGAAGAAGTATGCAAATTAAGACTCTTAGGTACATCCTGCATCCCTGGTATTTACCTCTGGGCTGAGGACAGCTGTACTGTCACTGGGTACGTCCTCTTCGTAGCCCCTGTGGAAGTTACTCTCAGAGTCGTGGCCGTCGCTGCACTCACTGGGGCATTTGCCAAAGCACAGGTGGGGACTGCCGCTGGTGTAGGACAGATCACACTTTGCGTCTCCCAGGTCCGACAGCGTGCAGGACATCCTGGGGGAGCCGTTCTCATCCTGATAGGGCGGAGGCTGAAGCTCATCCAGCGGCGGAGTTCGGCGCATCCTCTGGATGCAGTTGGCTGCTTGGGAGAAAGTCAAGAAAGAGATGGAGGATCACAATTATGAACATATTTTTTATGTATCATATGATGATATGATAGAACGTACAGAGATCCCTTCTAGGGTAGAGGAAAGTGACATACACCAGTTTGAATTGGTAAAATGACAAGCATTTATTTACACACAAGTTAAACAAAAAGGCAAGCAAACGGCGGGGTACAAACAAAAGGGGCCAAAAGGGCGCAGGCTAATCTAAGGAACAAACAGAAGGAGGACTCTAACAAAATGAGCCTATTCAAACGACAAATAAATAAACATAATAAACTAAATAACCCTCACTGTCACAGTGGTACAAACTAATAAAGGAACTGAGCAAACACAGCGATACTACCAAACAACAATCCAATGATGCTAAGCTAACCAAGGTAAATCTAATGTTACACGAGTTAACCACGGTTAACAGGTTTAGTATACAAACGAAGAGCATGTAGCGAGAGGCGTCTGTTCCCGCAACAGAGCCTCCAGAGTGATCACAGTCCACTGGCTTTGTAGTCGTCTCCAGAAGGTGTGCGCTTGGATTGGAGTGCGTCAGCCCAGCGTGCTCCAATCACAATCTTCGGGAGGCGGACCAGGAGATGGCAGCCAATGACGTGAGGGCAACCACACAGCTCATTTACATAGAACACACACAGCTGAAAACACTCACATACAGATTAATGAGCAGGTAGAAGGCAGAGTCCGTAACACCCCCCCCTTAAGATACAAACCTATAGTTTTGTAAACCAAAACACACTAACAAATCTACCTAATAACACACAAGAACATCACTAACCAACCTGGACAATACATCGGCCAATGCGTTCTCCGAGCCCTGTTTAAGACGGATGTCTTATTTTGTAGTCCCGCACGATCAGAGCCCATCGCATGAGACGCTGATTGTGCTTGTGCACGCTAGAGCAGACTACGAAGGGATCGTAACAAGTGACCACGACAATGATTGGCCAAAGGCTGGGTCCAACACAGATCTCAAAATGCTGTAGAGCTAACACTAGAACTAGGATGAGTATCCGATAAACTAGCAGACACTCTCGGGTTTACGGAGAGTCGAAGGTCGAGAGGCTTGTCTGAGCCGGCGTTTTGTGCTGGTCTCGCGACATCCTCATGAGGAGGGGAAACCACAATTTCTGGCTTTTCGTCTGACACAGCTTCATCTGGAAGCATCGACACAAACACAGGATTAGACAATGAGTCATCAAAGTCACTTTTACTCGCCTGTGTGCATATGTGTGTAATTAGGCCAATACCTTTCGGCGGGGACATGTCTTGCGGCTGTTCTTTACGCTTCAGAATCATACAGTTGGCAATGACATGTCCAGGTTGATGACAATAGAAACACTCTCTCTCTTCTCTGTTCACGATAGTCACATCTAACGGCTGAGTAAGCAGGGCGGCTGGCACACGGCGGGACCTCTCAGTAGACACAGGGGAAAACACAGATTTATGCGTGAGCACATATTCGTCTGCTAACACAGCGGCAGCAGAGAAAGAGTTTACCTTTTGTTCATTCAAGTATACCACAATGCGATCAGGCAAACATTTCTTGAACTCCTCCAACATAATCAGTTCCCTCAGAGCAGCATAATCCGCCACTTTACATGAAGCAACCCACTTAGTGAACATCATTCCCTTTTCTCTGGCGAACTCGACATGAGTTTGACTGGGACCCTTCCTATGAATTCTAAACTTCTGCCGATAAGCTTCAGGAACTCGTACACTCCAAGTATGGCACCTTTCACCAAGTCGTAGTTTAGACTGTCCTCTAACGTAAGAGCAGCAACTGCTTCCTGAGCTCTCCCGTGAAGTTTACACTGAACTAACAGAGCCCAGGCCTCAGCCGGCCACCGTAGTGCCGCTACAATGCGCTCAAAAGCACCAAAGTACGCATCCACCTCAGTCTCACGGAAAAGTGGCACTAACGAAATATTTTTGAGTACGTTGAAAGTAGGGGGATGAGAAGGAAGTGGGAAGCTTCCTCCGGCATTACCAAAAGCACCGGATGCGCGCAGCTCGGAGTCTAGCTCCAGCTGACGCATCCGGACTTCCTTGTCGATTTCAAGCTTTCTCATTTCCAACTGAAACTGCCGGTTCTGCTCCTTGTCCTTTGCCTCTAACCGGAGACGTGCGAGACGGACATCTAGTTTCACCTCCCTTCCTCAGAGTCCGAACTGCCAGGAGACGGTGGATTGCAGCGAGGCAGCGTGAACGGTGCTTTAAAACTGCCCACCGCCCTCACTGTCACCACCTTCTCCTTTAGCAAACGAAAAACTCCGCCTCATGCCTCTGACTTAAGATAGGCCTATCTCCAGATAGGACATTGGTCACAGTGAGCTCAGCTGGTGCAGCTAGTATAAGTAACCCCCCTTTTCACCAACTCATCCACTACCAAAGCCTTCAACCCTTTTTTTAATGATTGTTTATTCACTGCGAGACTGAAATGTTGCGCAATCTCATCCAAATCGTCCTTGCGACACCGGTCTAGCTGCTCTTAGGACGTACAGACTAAAAAAGACTCCAATCGAGAAATGCCATTCTTAGACGAACTGCCCCACACGTTTTACCAATTGTTTACAGGTATAAAAACCACTTGTAATTCCAGGAATGTAGTAATGTATCCCGGACGAGCCCCCATATAAGTTACGTCCCCCTTCTAGGGTAGAGAAAAGTGACATACACCAGTTAGAATTCGTAAAATTATAAGCATTTACAGGGCTCAACGCTAACTTTTAAAAGTGGTTTCCAGGCTGGCAACCAGGCATCAGCTTTTGGTTGCCAAAAGTGAAAATATGGTTGCCATTTTTAGTCACCTTATATTTTAAATAATGACGATACTATGCAGTTATACATCAACTTAATAATGAAAATGTGACACTTAAAGAATGTTCAAATGCTTTACAATAAGTAATTAACACAATTATTTGTACTTATTATTACTTGTCCACCCTCAATTGCTGGTATACAAAACACCAGTAGTGCAGCTGTTGTTCTGTTCTTCACAGATCACTAATTTCTTGGTCATCCGTTGTCTCCCTTTCAAATGTGGGTTTTCAAAATGGTAAAGTTTCGTTTTGCACTTTTATTTTGTAGTGATAAGATCGGGACTCATATTTTGAAGGAACTTTTACCGGAAGTGAATGCACAACGAAGCAGAAGCAGAATGTACATATATATTTCGCCTCCCAAGACTTTACACATTTCCTCTTTGTTTTTCGTTCGGGTTTACCTTGCGCTTTATCAGTTGAATCACTTTGAATATTCGTTTGAGATGTTGACGGGTTGGCCGAACTTTTTACCCCACAGTAAAACAACTTAATTTGCTTCGCCATTTGTTGTAAAACAAACACACGGTGCACCATGCACGCGAGTAAACGTGCATCGCATTCTGGCTCCGTAATCACACCAATGTACGTGCAACTTAAGTATCAGGTTCCGACTGGTCACAACAAATAATTAATATTTATCTATTTTGGGGTGCACATTTAGCTGTTTGCAGTCCTTATTTCTTTATGTTAAAAACGGCCAAGATACAGATTAATGAGCAGGTAGAAGGCAGAGTCCGTAACAGTCGCTTTAAAAAAAACTAATCAGGGTATAAATGATCTTTGGATGGAAAGCCTCAAAATGTGGTATCCAGTCACGATCACAGGTACAGATCAGAACCCAATAGCACGACTCAGATACAACCAGTGTATAGCAATGTTCAGTTTATTCAGGTCAGGAACAGGCAGGGTCAAAACCAGGAAATCCGTCAGACAGGCAACCAAAACCAGACAGGGAGCAGGCAGGAACTCGAGATCCGTAAACAGGCAGGCAGGGATCAAAAACCGGGCAGGACAAACATCTAGGCTAGAGCACAACACTCACTGGAGAGCTTGGCGGAAACGACAAGACAATCTGGCAAAGGACAAGTGATAGTGAGGTGGTATAAATACTGTGGAGTGATGAGGGAATGAGTAACAGGTGAGGGGAAGGGCTGGGGAGACCAGGTGAGGGAAGTGAGCTGATTACAAGGGCCTGGAGGAAGACAGGATTTTAAATGACAGGAGAGTTTAGATGAGCCACCAAACAAACAATAATAGAAGTGTCTAACTTGTGACAGTATCCAGACATTCATGGTCCCTAGAGTATAAAGTCAATTGTACAGCCCTTGCAAGTCAGAGACTTCTCTTATCCTGTGAAATATCCCAGCATTGCTTTGATTTTAATGCATAATCATTACAATAATTGCCATTTCTGAAAAGTTTGTGACGGCCGCACATTGATTTAAGGTGTTTCTTCTAAACTGTAGTGGCAGGGGAAAAGGTTTAAGGCATGCTGTTTAAAATGAACATGTACAATAAAATAAAAGGAGGAGGAGAGTGTGTGTGTTGAAGCGAATGCGGGTATTCAGCGGGAATTTAAGTTTCCTCAGCATGTATACATATGATCGACCGACCTGGACGCACACGATAGAGAGATGCTCCTTTGTGCCACGCCGATCACCATGTTATCCTTTTTTGTGGATTATAGCCAAATAGGCCTAAAACAGAGAGAGGAGGACGAGAGAGAGAGAGAGATGAGACGAGAGAGAGAGCAGAGAGAGAGAGAGAGAGAGAGAGAGAGGAAGAGAGAGAGAGAGAGAGAGAGAGAGAGAGAGAGAGAGAGAGAGAGAGAGAGAGAGCGGTGCCAGCAGGGACCGTGTTGTTAGCATCTGGTTAGCTAGCTGCACTAACGGACATAAGGAGCTGGAGGAGAGTCCTCTCCTGACAGACTGAGAGACTCAGGTGAGCTAAACAAAGGCCTCTCTGAGTGTTTAGATAGTTAACTTTAGTCTAAGTTATCTCAGTGGGTGTTAGGAATTAAAATCAATATTTTATGGCATAATTTAGTTGAAACATACCCTCAGTTTAAATGCTGTTTTATACTGAAAAACCAGAAGTTCTCGCGCACAATGTCTGATGTCAAGCTTTTATTCTGAAAATCC